AAATTTAAATTTTGATAATGTATTTCATTATAGTTTACAAGTTGATATTCATAATTTAATAGAAGCATCTGTCGAAGCGAAACAGGTAAAGTTTGCTCACTTGTGCAATTTTGTATTGTTATGAAAAGTATTTCTTTTTTTTTTGCAAATAAATTTTTTATTTATTTATCGTTATTATCAACTGCAAAGCTTATTACAAATCATAATTATCAATTATCATTTCAATTTGCAGCATCGTTAAAAGTTTAATGACTGTTATAGATGATGATAGAATTCAAAAATGGAAATTTTAATAATAAAAATGATTAGTAATCATTATTATAATTTCCATTTTTGAATTCTACAGTTCAAGTAGAATCTTGATAACTATAAATTATACATATGCATGTGATCAGCCAATTATTGAGATTGGTGATCATATATAATCATCTTTTTCCTTCATACTTTCCTTTACTTTTCTTTCATACTTGCTTTTTTTTTCTTTCTCTTCTTTTTCTTTAGCCCTTTTCTTTTTCTTTCGTCCTGTTTTTTCTTTCGCCTTTTCTTTTTCTTTAGCTTTTTCTTTTTCTTTCATCCTGTTCTTTTTCTTTCGCCTTTTCTTTTTCTTTCACCCTTTCTTTTTCTTTCGCCCTTTCTTTTTCTTTCACCTTTTCTTTTTCTTTCGCCCTTTCTTTTTCTTTCGCCCTTCCTTTTTCTTTCGCCCTTCCTTTTTCTTTCGACCTTTTCTTTTTCTTTTTTTTTTTTTTTTTTTATATTTTTTTTTTTGCTTTTGTTCTTTTCTCTTCCACACTTTTCTTTTTCTATAGCCTTTTTTCTTTTTGTTTTCTTTTTCTTTCATCCTATTTTGCCTTTTCCTATTTTGCTATTTTGTCGTTTTCTGTTTTGTCATCTTATTTATTAAAACTTATTTTCTCACCTTTGCTTATAAGTATAATTTCAGAACCATAGCTTTTAGTGTCATCATCATTGGAGTCATTGTCTTTGGTGTTAAAGCTTTCGTCATTGGAGTCTTCGTTATTGGTGCTTCTTGGTTTTAGTTATTGCCATTATTGTTGCTGTGCTTGCAGATATATAAGTTATGTTGTTATTTATTTTTTTCATTAATTTTTTTTCTTTTTAATTGGTACTAACTTTATATTTCTTTTTTTTCTCAAGTAATAGTTGCTGGCATGCTTTCTTCATCATTCAGTTCGGTGCTTATGCCTTTCATCATTGGTGTCGTCGAATTCAGTGATGGCTCTTATTTCGTCGTTGGTGTTATCGAATTCAGTTGTTATTATTTCATCGCTGGTGTCATCGAATTCAGTAGTTATTATTTCATCACTGCTGTCATCAAATTCAGTGGTTATTATTTCATCGCTGGTGTCGTCAAATTCGGTGGTGGCTCTTATTTTATCGTTGGTGTCATCGAATTCGGTGCTTATGCATTTCATAATTGGTGTCATCAAGTTTGGTGGTTGTTATTTCGTCACTAGTGTCATTGAATTCGGTGGTGGCTCTTATTTTGTCATTGGTGTTGTCGAATTCAGTGCTTATGCATTTCGTCATTGGTGTCATCAAGTTTGGTGGTTGTTATTTCATCGCTGGTGTCATCGAATTCGGTGGTTATTATTTCGGCATTGGTTTGTCGAATTCGGTAGTTATTATTTTGTCACTGGTGTCGTCGAGTTTGGTGATTATTATTTCGTCATTGGTGTTGTCGAATTCAGTGGTTATTATTTTGTCGCTGGTGTCATCGAGTTTGATGGTTATTATTTCATCACTGGTGTCGTCGAATTCAGTGGTTATTATTTTGTCACTAGTGTCATCGAATTCGGTGGTGGCTCTTATTTTGTCACTGGTGTCGTTAGTTTGGTGGTTATTATTTCATCACTGGTGTTGTCGAATTCAGTGGTGGCTCTTATTTCGTCGCTGGTATCGTCGAATTCAGTAGTTATTATTTCGTCGCTGGTGTCGTCAAATTCAGTGGTTATTATTTTGTCGCTGGTGTCATTAGTTTGGTGGTTATTATTTCATCACTAGTGTCGTTAGTTTGGTGGGTATTATTTCGTCACTGGTGTTGTTAGTTTGGTGGTTATTATTTCGTTGCTGGTGTTGTCGAATTCGGTGGTGGCTCTTATTTCGTTGCTGTTGTCGTCGAATTCAGTGGTTATTATTTCATCGCTGGTGTTATCGAATTCAGTGGTTATTATTTCGTCGCTGGTGTCATCGAATTCAGTGGTTATTATTTCGTCATTGGTGTCATCGAATTTGGTGGTTATTATTTCGTCACTGGTGTCGTCGCATTAGGTGGTTATTATTTAGTCACTAGTGTCATCGAATTAGGTGGTTATTATTTCATTGCTGGTGTCATTAGTTTGGTGGTTATTATTTCGTCACTGGTGTCATCGAATTCGGTGGTTATTATTTTGTCGCTGGTGTCGTCGAATTAGGTGGTTATTATTTTGTCATTGGTGTTGTCGAATTAGGTGGTTATTATTTCGTCACTGGTGTCATTAAATTCGGTGGTGGCTCTTATTTCGTCACTGGTGTCATTAGTTTGGTGGTTATTATTTTGTCGCTAATGTCGTTAAATTCAGTGGTGGCTCTTATTTCGTCGCTGGTGTCGTCCAATTTAGTGGTTATTATTTTGTCACTGGTGTGGTCGAATTTGGTGGTGGCTCTTATTTCGTCGCTAGTGTTGTTAGTTTGGTAGTTATTATTTCGTCGCTGGTGTCGTCGAATTCGGTGGTGGCTCTTTTTTCGTTGCTGGTGTCGTCAAATTCAGTAGTTATTATTTCGTTGCTGGTGTTGTTGAATTCAGTGGTTATTATTTCATCACTGGTGTTGTCGAATTCGGTGGTTATTATTTTGTCAATGGTGTCATTGAATTCGGTGGTTATTATTTCATTGCTGGTGTCGTCGAATTCGGTAGTGGCTCTTATTTCGTCGCTGGTGTTGTCGAGTTTGGTGGTGGCTCTTATTTCGTCATTGGTGTCGTCGAATTCAGTGGTTATTATTTCGTCGCTGGTATCATCGAATTAGGTGGTTATTATTTCGTTGCTGGTGTTGTCAAATTCGGTGGTTATTATTTCGTTGTTGGTGTCATCGAATTCAGTGGTGGCTCTTATTTTATCGCTAGTGTCGTCAGTTTGGTGGTTATTATTTCATTGCTGATGTTGTCAAATTCGGTAGTAGCTCTTATTTCATCGCTGGTGTCGTCGAATTTGGTGGTTATTATTTTGTTATTGGTATCGTCGAATTCGGTGGTTATTATTTCATCGCTGGTGTCATCGAATTTAGTGATTCTTATTTCGTCTTGGTGCTGTCGAATTCGGTAGTTCTATTTTGTTGTTGGTGCCATTGGATTTAGTAGTTTTATTTTGTTGTAGTTTAGGCCTATTTGTATTATTGGGTTGTATTAAATTTTAGTTTAGGATTAGTGTTAAAATAGAATTTAATTTATATATGTATAATACATTATTACTATATAATTATAATAAAATTAAAATAAATATGTATTTTAAATATATATATATATAATAGTTTTTTTATA